GTTAATTCTACTGATTTTATCTATAACGAACATTCAGTGTAATAATAGAAATTGTTTGAGATTGGCTGAGGTAATAGAAAAATAATCTTTTTAAATATTTTAGATTACTGATATTTTAGATTACTGAACCCCTCATTGCATTTTACAATTAAAAATTTGCTGTAAAAAACAATGTAGTATGAAATTATTGTATTTTTTGAAAATCTGTGATTATAAATCTTATTTTACATTTTTAATATCATATAATTTTTCTTCAAATATAAAATAGAAAAATATTTTTTAGTTTAAAATTGTATTATTTTTCAAAATTAAATAAAAAATTATGCAATGAAGGATTTATATGGAGTACGAAAAAAATTTAGTTTTTTATTTTATTACTACTCTGTTACAAAAATTTAAATATTTTTATTACTCATTCCAAATCCATCAATAACACATGATACCTTTAATTATTAAATTACAATTTGAATAAATTGAATGAAATTAATATTCACATCAAGTTTAACCTGACAAGTAATTTATACGCTTAACACCACTCTTCGCAAGACTACTGTAAGCAGAAGTTGAACGCCTTCTGTTTTAGTCTTTAGCGTGTTCTGTACGACAAAATGTACTCCCTGTCATATTTAATTACGTTATCCGTAGTGTGTCATGCTTGTCTCGTTGAAACTTCGACACGAATACGACGTTCTAACGTGTAAGTGCACTGAGGAGTATACACTTAATTGAATAAGAACTGAAGTTGACAAACTTAACTTGTTAACGTTTTGTGGCAGCTTGTCATCTATATTGTAACTAAATCTTTACTGTCGCGAGTGTGTAGTAGGAAACACAAGAGCTATGTAATAAATTGAAGCAAATAGAAATCTGTATTATTTGATTTTATTATTGATGGATAGATTTTGTTTAAAAATTTTCAATCAAAGTATAGAAAATAAAATATAAATAGGTAAATATCTGAAATTAAAATACGATTTTTTGTACTATACTTGTTAAAAATATTACTGTAATAACAGTGTAATGTAACCATTATGATAGCTCTTGCTAAGTTTCTTTAATGTTAATTTCTGTTGCTCACTGTTATTGTATGGCATGAATACTTAAATAGAATCATTTCAAAAAAGCAATAGAAAGACTTTAGACTGCAGTCTGAAACACTTTTATGCCAAAATATAAACTACAGCTGTAATAGATAATACTGCTGTTAGACAATAATGAGATTCTAAAGAGACTAAGGCAACTACTGATATATATAAATTAATTATCAAAAATTAGAATTAAATATTTATGTTTTTATGATTATTAACCTTTGAACAACGGAGACTGGGTCAATCGAGACCCAAACTTACAAAACATATGCAAATATATAAACCTAATGTTAAATATATAATTTTTAAACAAAAGAGTTTTATATATTATTAATTCTTTATCATCAATCATTTTTAGAGGGACAGTGTAAAATTTAGAAAATGATAATAATATGAAATACAAAATTAGATTAAAATTCCGTCGTCCAAGGGTTAAATAATAAACATAAAAGACAATACTATAAATAAATGATATACTTTTTTGTATTGATTAGACAATAAATAGAATTTAGATTTCTACATAAAATTTGAAAATATGAATGTAAGAATGTTTTTGTAAAGGAAGATAAATATGTTAATCAGCGAAAAAATCAAAAGAAAATCACATTTGGAACAAGGTAGACTAGAGTTATTTGAATAATTGAAGAGTACCCTTATTTTTAAGAGTACTTTGAGAAAAATGTGTTAAAGAACCTCCAGGAGTGTGAAGAATTGAGCTGAATGAATTATGTATTTAGGAGCAAACAATCTTTTGTGTCTATGTAGATCGTTGCTGATTTAATTTCACTCTCCTTTCCAATTACTGAATAAATCACTGATATTCCTGATTCTAGGTATTATACATTTTAAATTTCAATATATTACATTCAACACTACCTTCCAACCATTTCAAGAAAGCATACATTTAAATTCACTAATATACTTCCAATAGATTCAATAACCAATAGGAAATTAATATACTATAAGAAAGTATTGATCCCTCGACTTCTAATACAGCTAATTAAAATAGCAACGAAATTTTGAGATTAAAAATAGAAATTATAAATATTATTGAAATTATTCTAGATTTTTAAAATAACAAATTGGGACGTTAGATTGAAAAAATAATCTGTAACACATTAAACGCCACGTTGGTCATTAATAACAAACATTACAAATTTAATATTATTAAATAACTAATAAAATAAAAAATGAAACAAATTTTATATGGTATCAATGTTGTACCATTTGTACCAGGTAGCAAGTGGGAAGCTTAACCTTTAGAGGCTATCACCAAATATCACCCCTTACCTAAAATATATTACGTGTGTGAGAAAATTATTACTTCTGACAATCTGAATAATTACTGAAATAAGTAGTTAACTATCCTAAGAAAAAAATCATTGCATCATTTCAATTTATGGAACTTCTCTTAACCCATTTATACCACGATATATGATCCATATTGTATTACAGAAGTTCTACAGTAAGTATAATCCTATTAAATTTAAGCTCCTTTCTAGATCTAATAAAGACTCGAAAATTACAAAAGTCAAGAATATAGTCATCAAAATATTTAAAAATTCCTTTACTGTTAAAAAGAAATTTGAAAATGTTATTTCCTAACCCTTGAATAGTGAAAGTTGAGTCATTCGTGACCAAACTTACAAAATGTATCCAAGGACATTAACTTAAAGTTAAATGTATAATTTTTAAAAGAACAGTGTACTCAGAAAATAAAAATAATATGAAATAGAAAATTAGATTAAAATTCGCCATCCGAGGATTAACTTAATGAGTTTACAGTGCAATTGTAATTAATGGTACTAAAAATTATAGATAAAACCTTAACAGCAGCTACTTCCACTTTTCTATATCAAAGTAGAATAGAAATTTAATTGACAATATTTGTCTCAGTTCTTTAATTTAATTCCTGCTTTTGAATGAAATCACTCCAAAAGCTGTTCTGTGAGCTATTCAGGAAAAGAAAAAGAGAGGAGCACAATACACTCCGTACGTTAGATGAAAATCCTCTCTGAGTAGGTAATAATTCGGATGGAACGGAAAGTAAAAATTACGAGAAACAAATCCTTCGTGAAAGAAGACATCGACTAATGTACACAGACCTGCAGAATGTACGCTCAAAAAGATCTTTCAAGAGGAGAAGTTCTCTTCTTTGCTTAACCTCCTTAACTTTTATAGAGCAGCTCCTCAAACTTTCATACTACGATAACTTCTACGTTTCCCTCGTATATCATGCAATTATTTCCGTATATGCATACAGAGCTGTCCAACTTTCATGTCAAAAAACTGTTTTCGATAATGCGAAAATACGTTTAACAAACGAATTCCTTAATTTGCTGAAGTAATTATTATAATCTAGTTTTGAACATCGTATTTTGGTTAAATTTTTAGATTTATTATGATGTTCTTTAAGGGAGATTTTGGACTGTATTAAGAAATTTTCTGGAATTGTTGTGTTATAAATTTCAGTACAAAATAAAATTAATTATTTAATATCATTGGCATAACTAGATAAGGGTCAGAATGGACTAAAAATTTGGACACGTCCATCCTTAAAAATGTGGACCTCCACCATTCTGATGTTTCCCGATTTCAAAATTTTAGATTTATTATGTTTCAGAATTTCTGAATTACAAATCTTCAAAATATTAAAATTGCAAAATTAATAAATTCTGCAATTTTAAAATTGTAATATTTCTAAGTATCAGAATTCTAGAGTTCCCAAATTTCAGACTTTCTAAATTCCAGAATTCGAGATCCTAATAAATTCAAGTACTCAAAATTCCAAAATTCCATATTTATAAAATTTTCAAGTGTCAAAACGTTTAAGGAATCAAGTTACGCCAATGCTTCATCTAATAAAATCGATATCTTAAAAACAAATTAAACATTATTACAATATTTATTCTGTGGTATTTTAATATTAAATTAGATTATAAAACTTTGAAGGTAATTAAAATCTATAAAAGAAAAAAATTAACAGTGAATTAAAAAAGAATTGATAGGTCAAATTTCATTATAATAATTGTAATTAAAAATTGAAATATTATTATAATACCTATACTATGATATTTTTAATAAGCAGTATAACACGGTATAATAAATAATATAATTATTGAAAGAAAGAACCAGAAGTACGAGAAATCTAAATGCAGAGCTGTTTAATAAAAGAAGGTACTCCAATGCAACCTTGACTCTTGGAGAGTTAGTAATGATTATTGATTTCCAGATAGATAAATATAGTTCTAGTACCAGTAAATTCAATGTATATTTCATACAAAGTTCTATTTATACATTATTAACCGATTATACGTGCTTTTTTTCATTAATTTATTTATTTTTCTTCATTATTTTCTTTTCCTTAAAAAATCTTTATTTTTTCAGGAAAGTCCAATCTCTAAACATTACGTTTCTGATTCAGGCGACTTCCGATATACATATGGATAACCCCCTTTTCACCCCTTCAAAAAGTGCAAATCGAAATTGCGTCTTACACGTGTCTACTAGATTTCATCAGAAAGTATTTCTATTAAATTTCATGCTTCTAGATTGAATCGTTTCCAAAAGAGTCTAAAACTTTAACCCTTTTTTCCACTCTCTTGTGGGTGCTTATGTCTTAAGGAGAAGCTATTCCCAAAATTTCAATTTCCTAGGTCCTGGATTTTGAGCTGGGCGTTGATTATCTCTAAGTCAGTGAGTCAGTTAGAATTTTATACCCAAAGATTGAAAATTTTACCCCTCTCAGTCCATAGTCAGATGAAACTATAGCTTTTTCAAAACAATACTAACACTTGGATGGATAACATTGGACGCACCATCTCGCATAGAAACGCTCTTAAACCATTAATTTTCACGGTTCCTCGTAACCGTGGATTCGATAATGACACGTGGATTATAGGTATCACTTACCGGCACATTGTTCAGGGTGAATGAGAGATGAGCCGCTGGCTCGGAGGGTGGTAAGCTACAATTTGCCCTCAAAGTGTCTCCCGGGTCGTAACGTTCACGTTCCGATACGATAATGGGTGTGCCTTCGGGTAGAGCTGAAACATAATAATTCCATGGATATCTCTTTATATGTACTGTCAACGAATCACTTACTCGTGTTCTCTCAAAACAATACAAGCAGTTCCGGGTATAATACTGTCCTCCTAAGCCTATTTGACATATTTGCAGAAATCTTGTTTCGCTAAATTAGGACTCTCTCCATGGTCCGCCATCGAAGGATTAAAAAATAACATAACCCGAAAAAAAAATATTGGTAAAAATTGCAGATACGTCAATTAGCCTTAGCAGAGTAGAATAATACTTCAAATAAAAAATAAAAATACTAGATGTAGAAATGAAATCATACTAATATGAAACATCTGTATTAAATAATAACATTCTAAGAAAACAGTAGAATTTATAAATTATAATTCTTATGCTATTTATTGTAGAGTGTATTCAATTTTGATTGGTTTAATTAAATATTAATTATATGAAATTTTAAACTAGTTACTTAATCAATCTTATTAAATGGATAATGGGAATTTATTTAAACTATCCACTGCACACTTAATAAAATTGTTTTAGTAAGAAATTAAAAACTTCATATAATTAATAAATAATATTCCAGTTAATAAAAACGAAAAAATTTTCACAAGAAATCAGAATAATCATGTTACTAACAATAATTTAAATAATAATCATGAAATATTATTTTAAATAATTATTTCTAATATGTACTTCACATAAAAATTATAATTTCAGTTATAATAATAATTCCAATTACTATGTTTCAGATAAATATTTTCAATACCTACACATAGATTTGTCGCTATAAAGTGAAATAAATTTTGAAATATTATCATATTCAAAAAGAAAAAAATATTTCAATAAGCATTTTCAGTGGTTTTTACTTGAAACATAGTCAGCATTGGATACAGGCATCATTATCATGCTATTTACCAAGCTCAGCTTCAACTCATTCAATATTCAAAGGACAATAAGGACCAGATTATAGAAGCAGTTAGCTGCATATTTCGTGTAGTTTGTGCAAGCATTCATCTGTGTGGGTATGCGCTTGCATTCAACCAGAGGACACTAAGCTTTTTATATTATGCGAAATTTTCACGACCGCTTGCAGAAATTTTAATGCGCTCTATTGTGATCCAACGGAGAGTATCCGTATGTATGTATCTGCATTGCTGTTACGATTATGTTTGAAAACTGCTCATAGACAGGGTGCATTTTTTACATATACACTGTCAAAAGGGTATTTATTTTTCGTTTGTAAATAAAAGACAGGTAGAATTATGCTATTAGTCAAATATTTAATATAATTATTTTCTATCATTTCAAAGTTAAATGTATTTACATGAATTTCTATTAAAAAAATTATAGAATAGTTACTAAAATATTATATAAGTTAAAAAAGAAAAAAAATTAAAGTTATAAAAATAGTTAAAACAAATAAAAACTCTTAATAATAATTAAAGTTTCTCTTTGTCTCCAGCACTGTCTCCTTTAAATGTTAATTCTAACATAAATTATATTTAAATTTTTACTTAGGTTTTTTTAATATTTGAACTTGGATATTAAACACTTAATTTTTCCACATAATTTAATTTTAATTATTTGAAACAAGAATTTCTAAATGAAAATATTTGAGTAATTAAAGTTTGCATATAATGTCCATGTTATAATGAACAATTATTCAACTAATTTCCTTTTTCTAAATTAACAAAAGTTATAAAAGTACTACTCTAGTAATGCTTCCATTATTATTTAAATTATATAGCTTCCAATAGGATGATTCGAATTTCGCAAACATGTTCGTACGATCTAATTAATTCAATTAAGTCGAGTACTTTTAAAAGCAACCTCTCCTAATTTTCCATTAAAACGGACGAAAGAAACTCGTACGAGGTAACGGAGCACTTTGTTAACAAACTACGATGCATTTCCATTGATTTTATATCGATACATTTGCACTTTTAATTATGATAATGTTTCCATATCCTACTTCCTCGCGCCATAAGAGCAGTCTCTTTTTTTTTGCAGCAAACTTCAATAAAAGGAAAAGCTTTTTCCTTGTTCGCCAGCTGCTTTCCTCGTACTGTAAGCAGTAGAATCCTTATTACTGCTTGCTGCACCTTGTCCAACGAAATAAAATTTGACCGCACAATAAGAATTTGGGATAGCTTTGGGAATTTAACCCAAGGACTTAACAAGGTTTATTTATAACAGATATAAAATTCTGAATCCTACAAAGACGGAGTCTCGTAATACTGTTTGATTTATACTAAATCAAAATTACTTCTTCAATAATAATTTTAAAGACACGAGCAAAACTAAATAATTTTTTGAAAATTGTTTAGAAAAGAGAAGTAACAAATTTTAAATATTTTTTTATTGAGAAAATGGTTTTGTATTTTTATAAGAATTAAAGGGGTGACATTTAGTATATAGAACATTACATAATTAAAAAAAAAAAAGAGATTTCTGGGCCACTGGGTAATTAAATCTTTGAAGGCCCTTTTGGTTGATGAACTTGGTTCAAAAATTGAAACTCATTATAAATAAAATTAAATAGGATATGATCGTAAAGAAAAGAAGCAACAGTAAATAAAATTTCATTCAATATTTTTTGACGTAGAAAATGGAAGGCCTAGAAGGTCTGGAAAATGGGGGAAGGTCTGTAGCCCCCCTTAGATATTTCCTTCATTCAATTTAATTGTTAATTAATTCAACCGATATTAATCCACTGTATAAACTATTTTACACTACTTCTATCGTGTCAGACTTTCTACGATTAAATTTCTGATTCAATATGCAACGATCACATCATTTACATAATTTCTACCTCAGTGATTGCAAAAATAAACTTTCCAACGAGTTTAATTGCATTTTAATATTTCAACACTATCGCTGTAGAAGTCGGTGAATTATGAGGGAAAAAACAAAAAGAATTTCAAAGCCATTGATTTGAAATAAACGAGACCTTTCCTAGTTCAACCGCATGCATTCGACTTTCCATTAAGTATATTGGATTTTCGACCGCTGTCGACAAATCTTTCGAGGCAATCGGAATAATGGTCTGAAGTAGGTCAGAGTATTGTTGCAAAATATTAACGATATAAGTCGTACGCGTATCGGAAGTAAATGGCTCGAGAAAATCGTGATGATATATGTATGTATCGGTTGTACTGCAGCCACGGTTGTATAAACTGAACATTCGCGATCAGCTCGTCGCTTCTTCAATCGCGATTTTCAATTAGATTTGGCTCGTTGGGTTTAAGAGTTCAAATATGTTGTAAATGGCAGGTTTTTCACTCTTCTTCTTTGGAAAATACACGATAATTTAAATTTAAGATTTATAATATTATGGAGTTAATATTCAAAAAATCACAAATTTGTTTTTAAATTTATTTCTAAATATTTGGAAATGTGTTTTGAAATTAAAAGCACTATACTAGTTCAAAATCTATTACTAGTAGTCGACTGGAAACCAAGTTGTTGCCTCGCAGACCCTTCAGGTCCCGGCAAACAACCATCAGGTAAAAATTATACAAAAGGTCATAAAACCGACGCCTGGTCGACTACCCTTGATTGGGGTCGCGTACCGTTAGGCGCTCAGCACTTACAATTTAAGGAATTTCCAAAAATTATGGAAAAACCCACGGCAACTCATCGACTGCTTCACTTCTACTCTTTCACATCCCCCACCACATTTTCTCCACCAATCAGCAATAGTTCTAGGCATAGATCATTTCCTTTTATACACGCACTCGAAAAAAGCAGAACGAGAACTCTGACAACTTTCACGCTAATAACACCTCGGAAACATACACTCTAATCTTGTGTATCATACAGTTAGTTATTAAAATACAATTCATATTAAACAAATCAACTGTTCCCAATTATTTAACGTAAAACAATTCTCGAATATTAATTTATTCGAGGATAACTGGGACATCTGAGATCGACACAACGGTCTCAAGTCGCAGTATTATACACAAGTAATAAACATTTCATCATTAACCATTGATCAGCGGAGCCTGGATCAATTCTGATTCAAACTTACAAAACAAATATAAGGATATTAACCTAAAGTTAAACATATAATTTTTAAACGAAAGAGTTTCATATATTAAAAGAATAATTTTTAAATGAAATACAAAATTAAATTAAAATTGGGGCTCTCTCCATGGTCCGCCATTCGAGGGTTATTGTATTAATTACTCATCGTCGCTAAAAATATAAAAATTTCAGTGTGTGTTAATTAATATATATTTTTTTAAATAAATCACTTAGCAATTTTAATTAATTTTTCATTTTTGGAGCAACAGTTCATATGAATTTCATTTGCAAGCAATGTCTAATATATTTCTAATGCTTTTATACATTTTTTCATAAAATTATATAGTCACATACTTTGACGACACAAGTTATTTAAATTGCAATAAAAAGTTGCAATATTATTATTAGAATAATACAATTTATGATTTGTTTTTAATTATAGTTACAAAACAAAAAAAATAGTTTGAAGTAATTCAAGGATAACAGTATAAAATTAGTATAGTTTAATGGGCAAGTTACTAATTAGTACTTCGAGATATACATATCACTCGAACGAACCATTTTAACAAGAAGTGAAATTAGAACGGTCACTGTTGCGTTTAATTTTACAATTGAGTGAGCCCACCACTCGCGAAGATCACTGCTGCTGCTCTCACTTATCTAGAGCGGGAACGGAAACTGGAACCGATTACCACGGAGTGAAGTGAGGGAAATAACCGTTTACCCTCTCACCTTGTCGGTGATAAACCGGTGATTCGCGAAACGGTAGAACGACTAATCGAATTTCAGTTATGTTATCGTCTTCCGTCTATGAATGGCGCTACGGCTCAACTGCGCTCCAGTTATTCCCATTTTTCTGTACAAACTGCAAACATGGTTCTACCTTTTCATTGGAAAACGAATTTTTGGATAAATGTGGAAGCAGAAACGAATAACGATCGTGTTAAAAACTAATAACAGGAAATAACTTTTATACGGA